AGCAAAAGAACAGTGCATTCCAAATCTTGGCCCTACAAGCAGGTCTTCCAGTATAGTTAGCTAGGCATCTAAAATCCTTTGTCTGTATTTTTCTCCGTATAGGAGTAGAGGTGAATACAGTTTCCATGCCACCAAGGATACTTTGTGATACAACTCAGCTGCTGGAATTACCTGAGAGTTTTGAAAGATACGTAGTTTGCAACAAAAGGGAAAATTTCATGTGGTGGCAGGAAATGCAGCCTTCTGCAGAGACACCCTCCGAAGACAGCAACATGTCTTGAGCTGTGTTGCTCCTAGGAGCAGGCCATCTTTTATTCTTTGATCATGCAGCTGTTACCAATACTAAGATGTCAGATCAGGCAGAAGGCAGCAGTTTTGTGGATGAAAAACAGCTGCCTCAAACTCCACAAAGGGCTGCTTTGGTATTTCCTTAATAACAATGTTCTTCAAGAAAACCTTAGACATCAGTTTCTTTAACTCGGCCTTCCTGAGGGGAGAAGACATACAGCTCCAAACATTAGAAGTGTTAAAAACCTCATACAACTTAAAATAATCACCAAAGCTGGACAACCTGCAGTGATAAAATGTCTTGTTTTACTTTCCACCTATAAATAAACTGCAGAACATGCAGTTGGACCTAGGTCTTGGCATATCATGTGTATCCTATTCTGTATGCTGGGAGTTGATACATTTCAAAGTGAACATCTGCATGTGGTGATTTCAACTGCTTTAAAATATGGCTGGATATCTTAAGGCTTTTTTTGTTTTGTTTTGTTTTGTTTTGCAGCATAGCCCCAGTTCTTAGAGTTTTCTTTTAATAAAAATGTTGAAGGACATTTCTGATACTCTTAAGATGCCATGTACTTCCTGAGAACTGCTGGTTCAAAGAGCTTATATAATTTGTACAAAAAGAAAGTGTTGGAAGAACGAGCTAATCCTTAAAAAACTGCAGGTATATGTTCTCCGGCTTGGATAGAAAGATTCTGTACTTCCCTTAATGGTCAGAGCACATTACATGTTCATGTACTTATATTTTAGCTGAAAACTTATTGGAGGGCAGTTTACAGTAAAGATAGCCATCTTATAAAATACTGTGATTCATCATGGAGGAGAATATAAGCATTCTGAACCTGACAATGTAACTTAAACAAACAAACAAGGAAAAATCCCACAAACAAACTAACTTTTAAACAAACTAACCTCAATTGCGTTTTATAACAAATCAGACAGTAAAGGATAGGTTAGCAATGGAGTCTCAAAGTGAGAATGCCAAAAATTAATGTGTACATTTTCTAGTTGAAAAATTTTGTCCTGGTAGGTCGTTTAGAGAATTGTGAATAAGTCACTTCAGCTTGGGGTGGTTTTTTTGCAATTGCTAAAAAGAATAATTTCTCATGTTGTTTTGGTTTTTTTAAGATCCACTTTTTCATTTTACTGTATCACAATTATAATTTATCCACTGAAAGCTGATTATAAGAGCTTTCTTTGAGTCTGAAAGCCAGAGAACAATTATATATCAACAGGTAAAATTAACTTACAGCATTTGGCATTTAGTTACAGCTGCTCTTACCTAAGATAACTTTATGTTGAACTAATCACTTGAAGAGATTTTAGATTAGTAATAGTTGTTCACAGTAAGTAGGTTATGTTTGTATTTTAATAAATCACTTCCCATTGTTTAGCAGAGACAATGATGCAGTCTTTAGTTATCGCAAAGGTGTTTGCTTTAGTTGTTTCTTAGTAGTGTTTAATACAAGCACCATAGGAGTAACCCCTTGAAATCAATAAGATTATGCTGGATTTACATAGGCATGTGGTAAATAAGGATAGAATTGAGAGATGCCACAAAGAGGTTTTGCTGTACTGACTGTTGAAAATTTGATCTTGTAATGCTTGACAATATTTCTACTTGAGCATGTGAGAATTTTCACCCCTCTTCAGTTTGCAAATCATTTATGTATTACTTTCCATTCAATTTCCATTTGTATGCAAAGGATTCTGCCTCTGCTCTGTGTATCTGTGAATTTAAGTACAGAGGCAACTAAGAACTAAGAAAGGGGGTTACTTTCCATCATACTTCTAAGATAAGGTGTATTGGGTTTGTGTAGCCAGGTTTTGGTAGTAGGGCAACTACAGAGGTGGCTTCTGTGAGAAGCTGCCAGAAGTTTCCTCCATGTCTGACAGAGATAGTTCCAGCTTGTTCCAGCATGGATGTGCCTCTGATCAAGGCTGGGCCCATCAGAAATGGTGGTCATGCCTCTCTGATGACATATTTAAGGAGACCTAAAACAGTTCTGCAGAGTTGTGATTGTGCTCAGAGAAGAGCAGGGTGACAAATATGTGAGAGGAACAGTCCTGCAGACACCCAAGAGGTACCTGGGAATACAGAGATCCACCTGCAGCCAGGTCAGAGCAGGTGATGCCTGAGGAGGCTGTGGCCCTGTGGGAGGCCTGTGCTGGAGCAGAGTCCTGCCCACCCATGGAAAGAGGAGCCCATGCTGGAGCAGGTGTACTGGTAGGACTTGTGATCCTGTAGGAGATCCATGCTGGAGCAAGCTCTGCCTGAAGTACTGCACCCCATGTAAGAGGCCTACATTGCAGCAGTTTGGGGAGAACTATTGCTCATGAGATGGACTTATTTGGAGAAGTTCATGGAGAACTGTCTCCCATGGGCAGGATCTCATGATGCTATAGGGGAAGGACTCCTTTCCCTGAGCAACAGCAGGAATGTATGATGAACTGACCTTAACTTTCATTCCCTGTCTCCCTGCACTTGCTAGGGAGAGAAGACAGAACTGGGAAGGAAGGAGTGGTAGGGGGAAGGTCATTTTAAGATCTTACTTTACTTCTCATCATCCTGGGATAGGATTGAGTCTGTTTTGCTTGTGATAGTATTCGGGGTGTGATCTCTCATAGTCCTTAACTTGTGAACTCTTCATTATATTTTCTGTCCTCTGTCCAGCTGTGGAGGGGAGTGGCAAGCTCTGATGGGCATCTGGCATCCAGCCATGGTCAACCTCCTACATAAGGTTTTCTTTAATTATTGTCTTTTAAGCTTTCTTAGGTGTTCATAGTTATTTCAACTCTTGGCAGTATCGCATGTATTTTAACCCCTGAATTCCTAACATAGTATCATGGTCTCTTGCTCTCAGAGGAGTGTCCTGGTATAGTTTAACTCTTCCATATACTTGTAATCTGGAAAAAGAGAATTCAGCCTTTTCCTTAATTCTAGAGGCCACCTCTATCTACATGGATGACTGGAAGGTGATAAGAAATAGTCAGCACAAATTCACTGCAGATAAATCATGCTTGACCAGCCTGATTGACTTTTATGATAACACAATCACCCGGATGGAGGAGGGGAGAGCAGTGGAACCTCGACTTCAGCAAGGCTTTCGACACTGTCTCTCACAGCATCCTTGTAGGAAAACTCAAGAGGTGTGGACTGAATGAGTGGACAGGAAGGTGGTTTGAGAACTGGCTGAATGGCAGAATCCAGAGGGTTGTAATCACTGGCACAGGGTCTAGTTGGAGGCCTGTCACTGGCAGTGCTCTCCAAGGTTCAGTACTGGGCCCAGGGTTGTTTAACTTACTCTCCAGTGACTTGGGTGAAGGGACAGCAGGTTTGCTGGGGACACAGAGCTGGGAGCAATGGCTGGTACCCCAGAGGGCTGTGCAGCCCTTCAGAAGGACATCGGCAGGTTGGAGAGATGGGCAGACAGGAACCTTCTGAAATTCAGCAAAGGCAAGGGCAGGGTCCTGCACCTGGGGAGGAGCCAGCCCAGCCACCAGCACAGCCTGGGGCTGACCTGCTGGGGAGCAGCTCTGCTGAGAAGGACCTGGGGGTCCTGGTGGACAACAAGGTGTCCATGAGCCAGCAGCGTGTCCTGGTGGCCAAGAAATCCAATGGGATCCTGGAGGGCATTAGGAGGAGCATTGCCAGCGGGTGAAGGGAGGTGATCCCTCCCCTGTACTCAGCTGTGGTGAGGCCTCACCTGGAGTGCTGTGTCCAGTTCTGGGCTCCTCAGGACAAGAGAGACATAGGACTTCTGGAGCAGATCTAGCAGATGGCAATGAAGTTGATTAGGGGACATTTTTCCTACAAGGAAAAGCTGAGGAGAGATGACTGAGAGGGGACCTGATCAATGTCTATGAGTATCTGAAGGGAGGGTGTCAAGAGGATGGAGCCAGGGTCTGCTTGATGATGCCAAGCAAAGAGGACCAGAGGCAATGGGCAGAAACTGATGCACAGGAAGTTCCACCTGAATTTGAGGAAGAACTTCTTTACTGTGGGGTTGACTGAGCACTGGAACAGATTGACTGGAGAGGTTGTGGAATCTCCCTCACCAGAAATAATCAAGCACCATCTGGATACAATCCTGTGCCATGTACTCTGGGATGACCCTGCTGGAGCATGGAGGTTGAATGAAGTTGGAACAAATGACCCACTGCACTATTTTCCAACTGATCAATCTGTGATTTTGTGATTTTAGTTACTTATTTTGTAGTCTTGCACTTGCAGGACCCCAAAAGTTGCACATCTGTTTGTCCCAAAACTGCCCTGAGGCACAGGTACCTAACACCACAGGCATAGTGAATTACAGAAAGAGATGCAAATGATAAATAGGTGTACATATCAACTCCTACATAGGAAACAATGCAAAAAATAGCCTTATTTTTAATGTACTTTCACATTCGTTGATGACCATATTTAATTTCTTAATTTCTTCTTTTTGCTCCAATAGAATAGTGGATACCACGACATAGTTTTTCTTCAACAAGATGATCCAAACATTAAGAACCTTCTAAAACAGGGTTGAATTTGCAGTTGTAGAAAACCAACCAATTTTGGTTTTCTACAAATTTTATTTTACTTTAATACCTGAAAATGTGGGTTATAAAATTAAGAAAAGAAATGACTGTTTAAAATGTTTTATTGCAACACTGTGTATTGCATTTTGCTTCTGACTAATCTAATTGTCTTTCTACTGTGTTCTTAGGAGATTCTTAGGAATGAAAATTATAGAGAAGAAATGAAACAGAAAGTCAAGGATGTGTCTGAAAAGGATAAGCTGCTTCAGGCCAAGGAGTATGAGCAAGGACTTATTGCTGAACCAAGTCATACTCAGGTTAAAGGCCACGCATCCGCCCCTTACTATGGAAAGAAGGAGCCCTCACAGGACCCCACAAGCACTGCAAATACCTTCCAGCCAGGTGCCTGGATGCCACCAGGCAGTGATAATAGTAAAAATAAATAAGCAGTTTAATGGACAGGTACTGTTAATGGATAAATATTTTAACAGACACAGCTGTTATATACAAGAGTGCAATAAAGTAGTATTAAAGCAGTTTCAGTTACTTTTGCAGAACTATTCAAATGGGCTTAATGATGATTAAGTATTGTAAAGTTTTTGGGTTTAGTTCAAAACAGGGTTTACTAAGTTTGGTTTTGACAGTTACTGCTCATCAGTTACTCTTGAACTCATAAGACTATCTACATTTTCTTAAAGTCTCAATTGTTTTCTTCCGTGAAGACTAATTTAGTTTTAAAACTGTTCTTGATGTAAGAATTGTAGTCAGTACACTTACATTTTCCCAAACCTGGGCCAAGATGTCTCTTCAGAATAAATCCCTTGGCAGTGCCAGTGTGCTTTCCGCTGGCAAGCAGATGGAAAAGTTGATTTTATTAGCGGGAATCACTATGACACTACATTGATTACGCACTGTAGTCATCATAGAGACATTCTTGTAACTTAAAAGAGCCAACATATTTGAATGTTTGACTTGCAGACAGCAATTTTCACAGGGTAAAATCAGTTAAACTACATGTAACTGCTATAATAGAAGCTAGAAGTACTTGATAAAGCTGCTGGAAAATAACACTAGGTCTGAGACGAGGAACTGACATGAGTATTTAAAAAAACAAATTAGTTTTTATTCCTGGTGTATCCATGGACTTCCCTAGATGGTCAGATCATTTTGACCAGAGTTTAGATACATAAAATGTGCAATTATTTGCTCAGAGGTGATGTTTGAGAACTTCGATTAAAAATAAAGACCACACAATTTTTTTTTAAAAAGTATCAAATTTATTTATAGAGTGTATCCCTCATCAGTTCTCCTCCCTCTGTTTCAAGCTATGTAGGTATCAAAGGTCAAACACATACATATTTGACAACACTTCATACAAAACATGGAGACTTAATCTCACATATTTATAAAATGGCCAAATGTCAAATTCTAATATTGCTTGCTTTCACCAACAAAATTGAAAGGGGACCAACTTCACACTTACTTAAAGTAATTTCAGTTAGACTCCCCACTTCTGATCCCCCTTGGTGTCAGCCAGCTCTATAGGTCTCTTCATTTGAACAATGGTATTGTTTTAAGGTTTTATTTTTAAACCTGACCAAAGAGTAGCTGCTAGAATGCACAGCTCCGTGCTGCTGTTTAGAAATATGTGAAACGTAAAATCTTAATGACTGCTACAAGCTCTTTGAACTAGACAACGTAGAGGCCATCACAGACTATTATTAAAAAGTTAATTCTGTTAAGAAGAGATTAATTGGAAATAACGTTAAATAATTTTGATGTATTTAAAACACAAACCTGAATTTTTGACTATGTCAGAATCTTGCAACCTGTAAGGCAGCCAAGTTTCAAGGGGCATGAGAACAAAAGCCCTACCTAAACTCAAATCTTAGATCAAAGGTAGCCAGAAGTTTAGCAGGCAGAACTACTGTCACAGCTTGTGCATCATCCTTGCACAGCCATCTGCTATAGGTCTCTGGGACTCAGAACATTAGGCCACCTGGGTCTTTGGTCTCACCCCATTTATGGCTATTCTTTGAGGCAAAAACAGTTTATGAAGGCAAAAACAAATTAGTTACAGGTGGAGCATTCAGGTGATTGTTGAGGAAGACCAAACAACAGTACTGTATTTTTCAGAATATGAATGCCTTAAGAGAAATGAAGCTAGTAAGAACAGACAATCAGTTTCCTAGAACTTGGCCTGAAGTTAAAGGCTGTTGATGGCTCGTAGTTCAGGAAACAGGAAAAGATAAAGGTTGGTTATTTCTGCAGACAAGCACCACCATCAAAGACACTGCAGCAGCCACTGTGGGCACACACAGCCATATGCAGTGACCTTAAAGGAAATCAGTCATGTCTGCTATCAGTGCTACAGCTGGCTTGTCTCTACAGCCCTGCTCAAGGTTTGCCAAAACTTGCATTTCTGTAATCCAGTTTATTATTCCCATTTTCCCCTAAACTTGACAATTTTCAGACACTTGTTACGTCATAGATCAACTAAGAGAAAAAAAAGTGATCTACCTCCAGAACCACCCAAGAGGTTAATTTTTTTTAACTTAACATGCAAATTTAGAAAAGCAACCTGCACTAAAATACAAGTAGTAAATTTAATTACTCTAACAAGTGTCACTTGGGCAAATTTTAACACAAATCATCAGGAAAAAAATACACTGGAAGTATTAAATTTCATACTTCAAGAAGTAACAGGATCAAGTATCAAAGGACAGTTACAACAAAAATGTACAAGTATTTAATTTTAAAAATTGATTCTTTGCACAAGGAAGGCCATTTTTGCCCATTTAATCCTTCTTTGTTCGTTTGGCTTTTGCAATGTTCTCCTGGCGTTTCTGCTTCTTCTTTTGCTCTCGTTCCCGGGCCTCAATCATTTTTGCAAGCTTCCACGACAGTGCTGCACTAATTACAAACAGTGGCGTGAGAGCCAGGATCACAGTCGTGAGAAAGCCGTAGGGGTCCTTGGCAGCCCACTCCACGATGTACTCGGCCCAAGCCTTAATATCCAACATCTTTTCTGTTTTCCTATTGGGAAAACCCTGTGGAGTATTAAAAAAAAAAATCTGAGTACTCAGCAAAATAAAAGCACATATACACAAGACCAAAGCACAGGAAGTTCCACCTTCAGGTGTGAAAGAACAACTTTACACTGAGAGTGGCTTAGCACTGGAACCGGCGGCCCATGGAGGTCATGGAGTTTTTCTCTGGATACACAAAGCTCACTTTGACAAGTTCCTGTGTCACCTGCTCTATGTGACCCTACCTTGGCAGTGGGGCTGGACTGGATGATCCCCAGAAATCCCTTCCAACCCTAACGATTCTGTGATACCAAGTACCATTTTAACATCAATTGTCTTTTTTCAACATCAAAGGGCAAGACCATTTTTGCTAGAAGTTAAAAGCAGTGCATAGCGTAAAGCACTGAACCTATGTTAAAGTTCGGTGTTTATAGAATAATTAGGCATTTAATCCAATAGAGCTGCAAATTCTACCAACTGTATATTGCTAAAAGGAAAAAGAGTGCGGTTTGCGGGTCTCTGAAGTGAAGAAAAGCCGGCCGGTTGGTTTATCTCTCTGTAGGTTCCACCACGGAGCCCCGGCAGTGCCTTGGGTGCAGAACCGGCGGCCTTCGGCCAGCCCAAGCGGCGGCAGCGGTGCCGGCCCCGCCGCGCTCCACCCTGCGAGCCTCCCGCCCCAACGCGGCCGGCACCTCCTCACCTGCGGCCCCGGGCACGCTCCGGGCCTCCCGAGCGGCGGAAGGGCGAGCCGAGCTCCCTGCGGAGAGAACACACGGGCCGTGAGGGGACGGCGATGTCCCCCCGCCGCCGGCGCCCCCCGGGCCGAGCCGCGCCGCCGGGGCCGCCCCCCGCCCGCCGCTGCCCCGCGGTACCGCGGCCCTGGAGGGCTCCGGGATTCCGAGCGGAAACAGGAAGGAGGATCCTGCCCCGCCCAGCCCGGCCGGGCGGGAGCGGCGAGCAGAGCCCGCCCGCCGTGGGGCTGGAGCGGCCCTGCTGCGCCCCGTCCGCTCTGCCACAGCGCCGGGCCCGCCCAGAGCCACCACGGGGCGGGTTCTGCTTTACCCCGGGCCCGCCCGGAGCCACCGCGGGGCGGGTTCTGCTTTTCCCCGGGCCCGCCCGGAGCCACCGCGGGGCGGG